AGCAGGGAGCCCGATGCGGGACTCGATCCAGGGACTCCAGGATCATGACCTGAGCCGAAGGCAGTCGCTTAACCAACTGAGCCACCCAGGCGCCCCTCATCTATTTTTTTTAAAGAGATTTTATTTATTTGAGAGAGAGAGAGAGCGCGCGAGGGCTTGCGCACAAACCGGGGAGGGGGGATGCTGGGGGGGAGAGAGGGAGAAGCAGACTCTTTCCTGAGCAGGGAACAGGACTCAGGGCTCCATCCCAGGACCCTGAAGTTATGACCTGAGTCAAAGGCAGACAGACGTGTAACTGAATGAGCTACCCAGGTGCCCCCCCTTTTTGAAATATTTATTTATTTATTTGAGAGAGTACACACATACACACACACACACACACACACACACACACACGAGTGGGGGGAGGGGCAGAGGGAGAGGAAGAAAATCCTGAAGCAGATTCCCCAGATTCCCCTCTGAGTGCAGAGCCTGACACGGGGCTGGATCCCAGGACCCTGAGATCATGACCTGAGCTGCAACCATGAGTTGGATGCTTAACTGACTGAGCCCCATTGTCTTTTCATCTTTTTTAACAGTCTCTGTTGAAAGAACAGAGGTTTTTAATTTTGATGAAGTCCAGTTTATCCATTTTTATTTTTATTAATTCATTAATTTTAAACGATTTTATTTTTAAGTAATCTCTACACCCAACATGGGGCTCGAATTTACAATCCAGAGATCAAGGGTTGCATGCTCTGTTGGCTGAGCCAGCCAGACGCCCCTCAACCATTTTTTTTTTTAGTGGATCATGCTAAGGAATCTTTGCTTAACCCAAGGTCTCACATGTTTTCCAAAAGGTTTTAGGTTTATGATCCACTTTGAGTTAATTTTTGTGTATGGTGAGGTGTGGAGCTATGTATATATGTATATAGATATGTGCACATGTACGTATAGATAACCAGTTTTAGCACTGTTTGTTGAAAAGACTCTCTTTTGAATTTGCACCTTTGTAGAAAATCTATTGTCCATTTATATGTGGGTCTGGTTCTGGAATCCATTCTGTTTTATTGATCTATTTGTCTGTATGCCAATACCACATGGTCTTGATTATTGTAGTTTTATTATAAGGCTTGAGATCAGTGTTAGTCTTCCAGCTTTGTTTTTCTTTTTCAAATTATTTTTAACCTCGGTATTAATTCAATCAAATAGTTATTGAACCAGGCAGGATAAAGCAGTGAGATTGGCAAAGATGCTATTCTTTTGGTTGAGAGAGAGAGA